GCGCCTGTTTGGTTCTGGCGATTTGAGAGGTCGATTTAACTCTCTACCCGAGGTGGTGAAGGAGGTAATTGAGATTTTGGGGGGGTCGGTCCCCAGTTGGCAACTCTTCAGGATCTATCGAGTCAGTCTGCATCACTGGCTTTCCTCCGCGGGCTATTGAGGTTATGGTAGGATTCCACCAACACTTTTCACAGGAGAGATGACGGTTACCCCTTACGATTTCTCCATGATCACTACCTTTCCTTTTGGAGGCAAGCCAGTGGTTTTGGAGAATGTAAAGGGGTCAGACGAGAGACTGCGTGATCTTGTGGAAAATCATCTCGCAGCAACCCTACATGTGTATGCGCAGTCTTATCCTTACTCGGTTCTTGCCAACGAGTTGTCGGATGAAGAGGTGGATCGACAGTGTACTTCTGAGCAGCTGTCTCGAATATACATTGCTCACGTTCTTTCCGTCACCGTTTTGAGTGATCGGGGAGAACGTTTCGCTATCGGGTTACTCATATGCCATGGTGAATTAGGGCATGTGGGCAACCTAAACTAAGCGGAGGTGTCGTATACTCGTATGCTTACTGCTATGGGTAGTACGACATAGGTGTCGTTTCCCTAAAGGCCATCGCTTGGTCAGGATTAGGAAGAGACGACCTACTGCAGCCAGCAAGGATTCTCTCGATGACTCGTGCGTCGATGAGTATAGGTTTGCAATATACATTCATATCATTTTGTTTTAGTCATTTTTTTACATGATGGTGTGTTTTGCTGGTCGACCTTCGCCCTTGGGGCTTGGTCGTGGAGGTCTCTAAGGCTGTCCGGGCTAGCAGTGTTCGCTGTCGTTTTCGAGCGCTCTAGTAGGGACTCTTTGTGAGTCACCAGACTGACGCATGGTTTTTAGGTGAGCGCATTGTCTGGCAGTTTTTGTTCGAGGAACCTTTGGTTCCTGCGAACCCTCTGATCCAGATGTTGCGTCCGGATCTGCTTTCTACCGAGTATCGTGCTCAGGCGGTCCTTGGTTATCTTGCTGAGCAGCTGGTGCTACCCATGGCTTCTTACCAGGCTTTTGTCGCATCTAGACTAACACCAATTCTAGCTTTTGTCCCGGTTCGTCTTTAATTGTTATGAGTTTTTCTCTCTTTTTTTCCGAAATTTGGACATTGACCTGATTTTTTGTCTTATAGTGGGTCGTGATGGATGGTTGGGTAACTCCAGCAGCGTAGATCGCGTATACTGATGCTTTTGGATTGGTGATCCATGAGACTCTTCCGGCAGCTGAGGATGAGGACATATCGTACATCCCAGAGACTGTCGAGTCGGTATGTTTTGTTTTTATATGTATATATATAAATGCTTATCTATCATACACGTATTTAAAACTTTTCCTATTTGGTGTTTTGAACAGGTTCCGCGGGAAACTGTGAATGGCATTGTGATTGAGGACTCTGCGAGCTTTTTGTGCTTCTTTCCGGTGAGCCCTTGTGGCTTTGTCATGCTGTGATCATCGGATGGTTGCGGTAATCACTCTTCTTTTTTTTTTTGTTATATCAAAGTTATTACATGATTGCGTATTAATCTTTGATTTGGATTTTCAAGATGTGCAACAACCTTCAAGAGATCGTCGAGCATCGTGATTCCATCTTTTCCTCTTCAAAGGGGATGAAATAGTGCCATTACTCGACGAGTTTGAAGCTCTACTAGGTTTCCTTGGAAATACTGTTTATGTGACTTATGCCCCTAACTTGTCAGATTATAAACCAGCTTTCCAGCGATTTTTTGGCTTGAATGACAATGATATGACCAAAATAGATACAGAGCATGGCGTGAATTTAATTCTATTCATCGAACACTTTGTGACTCCTCGAAACAACGTTATAAAATTCGTGCTTTATGTTTTTGTCTTGTTGTCAATTTTTATTTAGGACAGGCAAAGAATATGAAGAATACTCAATGGTGTCCGTGGTAGAACAAATAAAGGGGTGTCACTCACCCGCTCCAATAGCATTGGCGGAAACCTTACTTTTCTTGAATCACCTTAGAGGAGATCCAAACGAGAACGGTTTCACCAGAAGTCCACTCCTATTACACGTACTTTTTTTTTTGGGACTCGTCAACGCGCGCAACTTTGAAGGTTGCGCTGGTAAGCCAAGCGCAAGTTTCAAAGTTGTGCTCAGACGGCGCGGGCGACTTCAAGAGTTGCGCGTGGCACCTGCTTTTGCAAAATTCCTTCGAATACTCCTAATACTCTTCCTGTGACTTATGCCCTTAATTTGATTTACAGTCTGTAACGATTGAGGATATAGTTAAACCTTAGAGTGTTACACGATAGCAATAATTTTTATGTTTTGAATAAAGTGTAATCACTACTAGAATTTTTTTTTTTTCTTAAGTCTCGATGTACTTTTGAACGCTTTTATATTTTGGAATAAAAGAGCACTTTTTTTTATATATTGTTGTTTTATTTGACCGAATCAAATATTGCCTACGCATTCGTATTACGAAATCAGGTCTCGCATAGTTCTTGTTCAACAACAATTTTTATTATTTTTTTATTATATTTTTATTTTTCATTAATCCCAATTGTAGGAGTAAATGAAAATTTAATTAAACCTAGTTTAATAATTTAATCAAAGTTTAATTTTTTTTGTTTTCTGAGTATATGAAAATGAAATACACCTTCGTTTTATTGCTAGTAGAAGTCATAGCCAATTTCTTTCAAGCGTAAATTTCAGGTTTGCAACTCGTCATCAGGTGGCATGCGCAATAGAGAAAGTCGCGCGCAACTAATATGTCGAGCGCAAATTTATGAGTTATGCTCGACACCTATGCTGCAAGTATTTATTCTGTAACCAGAGTTTTAAACGAGTAAATTTTTTTTGATATTCTATCACCCTTAAGTGTGAGGAATTTTTCCGTGGAATTCGAAAAAAATCCGAACACTTGAGTGGCTTTTTTTTTTTTGGTCTATCCTCTCAAGTGTTATGAATTTTACCATGGAGTTCGGTAAAATTTAGAACAGTTAAGCAAGATGATTGTTTATTATATATATATTTTTATTTTTGGTCTACCCCCCAAGTGTTATGAATTTTTCCGTGGAGTTCGGTAAAATTTATAGCACTTAGAATCTTTTGTGCGAATGCTATAAAATTTTATTCGAATGATTTAATGAACATAGTTATCCGGAATTTATATGTAGCATTTTTTAAGACGATCAATGTTTATTAGTTGGCGGATTTCATCGCCACCAATATCCATTAATCAAACTACTCCTCCTAATAGAATTTCTATTACTCGGTATAGTACTATCTAGTTGGGTTTAAATTTCCCTCGTGGATCGATTGGAGGACCTCTAACCTCTTTTAGTATAAAGTCACCTTCCTTAATGTTACGGGGTCGTACCCTTTTGTTAAAATTTCGCGCAATGCATTGTTGGCAGACTTGTACATGATGCAAAGCTTTTAATCATCGTTCATCGAGGAATAAAAGCTCTTCATACCTTGCTCGTACCCATTCAGCTTCCGGTAGCTTACTTTCAAGTATGATACGTATGGATGGTATTTCCAGTTCAATTGGTTGAACGTCGTCCATGCTGAAAACTAAGGAGTATGGAGTATTAGTTACTCCTATTGAGGTTCGTATGGACGTTCTATAACCCCAAAGAGCAAAGTGTAGTTTATTCGACCAGTCTTTATAATGTTCTGCCATTTTCTTAATGATGATTGTTATGTTTTTATTTGCCGATTCTACTGCTCCATTGATTTGAGGTCGATATGGGGAAGATTGATGGTGTTTTACCTTATAACTAGCCAAAAGAGATTCAACTTCTACTTAGAATTGAGATCCTTGGTCACTAATTAGCTTGTGTGGAACTCTATATCTACAAAATATGTTTCATTCTAGAAACTTTGCGACATGTTTAGAAGTGATATTAACGTAAGAAGCAACCTCAATCCACTTAGTAAACTAGTAGATGACTACTAATACGTACTCGTGTCCTCCCGTTTCTGTAGGGAAAATCTTACCAATAATGTCAATTCCCCAAGTCGAGAATGACCTAGGGGAAGTGAGGTTATCTAATTTAGATGGTGGGAGATGTTGTAAGTTAACAAATATTTGGCACTCTTGACATTTCTTGAATATTGAATGCAATCATATTCCATTGTGGACCAAATATAATTATAACGGGGTTATTATTCCTACCCTTTAGGTGTTATATATAATTTTAAAATACTTATTTGGTTAATAAAAAAGAAAATGATACTCATTTATAATTGAATTTTTTAAACACTCATATGTATAGTCTAATTGACTATTTCGTTATAATCCATGTTTAATTTTAAAATATATGTAAAATTAGAAGAAATAAATATAAAGTGTATTATAGCTGTATTATATCCATGTTATTACCGTATCGTACATGACATGAAACCTAACCTAATTAACCAAATACATTAACACTACCCGATTTCCTAACACACGGTTTATATGTTTTATTATTCGCCTTCTACCCATTTGGAACTTTTAATTTACAAAAAATAAAAATTAAATAGTTGTGAATACAAAGTGCGGATCAAGTAGACTTTAGATATTTTAAGCGAATAATAGACAAGTATGTTTTTAAATCCACTACCTTACCTTATTACCTATGACGAGTACGACTTTAGATATTTTATATCCGCCAACTGTTTACCAAATTCACACTCATACGATCATACCTTCTCTAATTACAGCTAGTACCATATATGCAAACTTATGTAAAATTGTACCCACTTATCATCCCACAAAAAAAATTGACTCTTCAAGCCAATAGTTTTCCCTTTAAAGTTAAAATCAACATGGTTTTCATTTTTAAACCATTGTAAGGAATAATTCATCAATTAATAAATTAATAATACGAATCCAATCCAAGAATGGTATTACAACGATAATAAAATGCATTACTAAGAAAGTGACAAGTATCCAATAAAAATTAATAAAATGTATAGTTATGATTCGTGTCACACGTAGAAGAAGTAAGAAGCCCATTTGTCAATGAATCACCCACTCTTGACACTGGCTGACTTTACATGAATCACCCACTTTTGTTCGTTCCTATCTCTTCGCCTATTCTTGGTTCTTGTGCTTCTTAATATCAACATATTCTAACCATGACTAATGGTAAAGAACTTCTTATCAAAGTTAAGGTATGCTTTCTTTCTTATTATTTCCCACCAAATTATTTTAATTTTATTTTTTTTACTCAATTTAGATTTTATTTTTAGTAGTAAGACATAATTTATATCCTAATTTTGCTTATTTTGTGTTATTTCTTGCACTTTTTCTAAATGATTAAATCATGAGACGTGGGTTATTACAGATGTATGTATATATTGATTATTTGCCATTTTTTGCCTATAAAGTTTAGGAACTTATACAAGTTTGGAAAAATATTTTAGCTAAGCTAGGTGGGGACTTTCATCATGGATAGTTTTCAGGTGACATTTTATTTTTATTTCATCATTTGTCATGATTTCTTGGTTTTGATTCATGCATTTCTTCTGATTAATTTCTAATATGAAGTAATTTAAAAGTGTGGGAATTATTTTGTCGACCATTTAATCTTTGCTTTATAAGTATATGTTTTTTTGTAATTTAGTGAATTGCTTCATGTTAGAAAGATCGTTTACGTCATTCCCAATAGAAAAGAAAATGCTAAATGTAGAGTTTTGATTGGATCTATCTACGGGTGGTAATCCAATTTTTTGGATCGGGTTTGATTTGGGTCAATTTGGTTCGAATTGTATTTTATTTAATAATGAATCTTTCACTTTGGATTAATTTTAGGGTCGACTTGGGTTAATTAAGGTGGGGTCACATTCAAGTCTATCATCAAATACCTTTTTAGGATAAAATAATCAATACTTCGTATAAGATGACACATGTTCTTTTCCCTCAAAGAAAAAAAAAACATATTTAGGGTTGGATTACCTTTGAATCTTTGAGTAATCATGGACTGGATCGTGAAATTTTAATGCAAATTTGAACTAAGCCTATGTTAATTAGGTTTGCACTATGAGAAGTGGATAAAATACAAAATTAGAATTAGGTCCTAACCTATGTAAATTAGGTCTGCACTAGGAGAATTTGATAGTAATTTACTCAGCTTGTACCTACAAAGTAGTAAGTAGTAACCAAATCCAAATTCTCTTTCTCTGTTTGTGGTTTTCATTAGTGCCAATCTTCTTTTGTTGGTTCATGTTACTATCAAATTAATAATTTATATAATACAGTTAGAAGATCCGATCAACTTGAGTGAAGTACAAGTGGATCATACTTCCTCCATTTATTTTTGGATGCGAGCATGCAACACTTGTAATTTAACACTTCCCATTAAGTTGATACTTTAAAGTATGAGATGAATCTAATAAGATCTCATATGACCTTTTTTTTTTATTTATTTTATTATTTATGTCACCAAACATGTTCAAATTAGAGTGTGAATAGTGTAAAATGCAAAAATTTTGCATCTAAAAAAAACAAAGGAATTGCTACTTATAAATGCAGAATTTTATGTTGTGAAGTCACATTGAATTAACTTTCTATTGTAAATTTCACTCTGATCGTAGATTCTTGATCCACCTCCTCCTTCAAATCTATATTTTTTCATCTTAGTTGCGATGTTAGGCCATAGAACAGGATGTCTAGGTAACCGATGAATTGAACCATGTTATGACACCTTCCATAATGGTTCAAGCAACATACCACCTTTTCCTAGTTTGTAATTGAATCTGATACAGCTTAATGGAACTAAACCATGCTAATCTTATTGGCGATGTAGACAAATTAATCCAAATGAGGTTTCATCCATTAATCTACTTGCTGTAACATAAGAGGGATAATCTGTCTGATATTTATACTACCATCTACGTATGTGTATTCATTGTTGGACTACTTCACACAAACATAAAAATTATCATTATAAAATAATGAATAAATGCAAATTATATCATTCAAACAACCTAATATAGCTTTTTCAAGGGTGGCTTGGAATCATTGGTGTTCCATGTAGTTGTTTAATTTGGACATGAGACTACTATGAGAGTGTACATTTGAATGCATAGAATTTTTAACTTTACTAGATGTGTGCGTGGCTATGAAGATTTCTGGTGTTATTGAACTTCCTGCCATTCATTGTACATGTAGTCCGCGTAATTTGGAGATGACATCATAATATTACAATACAATGGTCACTTTATCCTGGTTACACTATGGTTGTTGCTGTGATGAAAAGGGATTAATGGTGGCATAATAAAAAGAAAACATGGATGCTCATTGCTTGCTTAGATTCATGCAATATGTGTCTACACTGACTAAACTTGGTTCTGAATTATTTATTTCTCCCCTCACCATAAGTAGTAGTCCCTTTAAAGATAAATTAATCTGTTACAAGAGAAGGGTGCCACACAATGGTCCAAGACCATGCGATTGTTTCCGGTGTCTGAGACTCATGTGAGGTCTCATATCATTCTGTTGTATAGTGTGATCACATCTTTTTGGCAGTGCTTGTCCCAAATCTCATAGGCAGTAAGTTTATTGTTCGCAAACCTACTGTTATTTTCTAATAAACTTATAAAGTGATGGTTATTATGAGGATAAATAAATGTTGATCTTATGTGATCAAAGTTGCCCACTGTTGCAAAATTCTGTTTCTGATCTTTTTACAAGCCATCGAAACATTGGATTAAGAAGGCCTGTCTATTTCCAAGATATCCACAGGATTAATCTCAATATATGCTTCACATGTTGCATCATGGAAGGTCCTTCACCCCTCCAATACTCAAGTTCAGCTTAGATTACTAAATGAATTGGTCAATAATTGAGAACATCTTTGGCTGCCTAATCCGTCACATGAAATAATGGAGTGCGGATACTTTTCAAGAGAAAATATATAATCAGTAACCTTTAATTTACGACATCCAGACACTAAGGAACTGAAATATTTGCTGCCTTTATTTTTCAACTGTTCTGTTTTATGTAAAGAAGTATTTAGTATGGACTATGGATCATAAAATACGATCCTGATATTATAGTTGTCCTTGTTGCAGGAAAAGGTTGGACTAGGTTCCACTGAATCTTCTGCAGAAACTGGGAAAGGGAAGAGTAAGATATCAAAGCATGTTACACATGGCTACCATACAGCCAAGGGGAAATCAGCTCATCCTATGGAGGATTATGTTTTCGCTGATTTTAAGCAAGTGGAAGATAATGAACTCGGTCTGTTCGCTATATTTGATGGTCATGTGAGCCAAGATGTTCCTGATTATTTGAGATCTCATTTGTTCAACAACATATTGAAAGAGGTACTACCTGTTTCTTTGTCCGGCTCTCTAATATCCCATATACTGATGTATTCTGTTAAACTTCTACTATTTTCGGATTTATGCTAGAAATCTAAAATAGTGTTATGCTTAAATGAGCCATATTGATCTGTTGTGTATGCTAGGTTTTTCTGAATATATAATGCTTGAAGGAAATAAATTCATTTTACTTAGGTTAGATGTTTAGAACAATTTATTGTTTGTGCTCAGCGCTTACTACCTCTTGGTATTGACTATATTTCTTTCAATTCATTTCCACATGACATAAACAGCCTGATTTTTGGACTGAGACTGAGAATGCTGTAAGGAAAGCATATCGCATAACTGATAGTAAGATTTTGGAGAAATCTGCGGACTTGGGAAAAGGCGGTTCTACTGCTGTTACTGCCATTCTTATCAATTGTCAGAAGCTGGTGGTGGCAAACCTTGGGGACTCTAGGGCAGTCATTAGCCGGAATGGAAAGGCAAAACAGCTATCTGTTGACCATGAACCAGATAGCGAAAGGAAAGATATCGAGGACAGGGGTGGTTTTGTCACCAAGTTCCCAGGTATATCATTATATGTTGCATTTCTAAGCATATGTTGCTAATTTGGTACGAATATGATCTATCACAAAGGTCGTCTTAGATCATATTGTTACAGTAAGATCATATTGTCATCATGTGCTTATGTCCTGTTTAACGTAAACCATATGATTGCTTCAGGGGACGTGGCACGTGTTGATGGGCAACTTGCAGTGGCAAGAGCATTTGGCGACAAGACCATGAAAGACCATCTAAGCTCAGATCCACATATTACAGTTGAGATGATAGATGAAGATACAGACTTTGTACTCTTGGCTAGCGATGGAATATGGCATGTTAGTCCTCGAATTCTAATTCATATGATCCTCTTCAGTCCTTACAATACTAGGCCATCTTTTCTTTTTCTTTATTTCGAGGATGAGAGCATAATGGTTAGGTCCATAGTATATTGGATTTATACTGATGTTCCTAATGATATGTAGGTAATGAACAACCAAGAAGCAGTGGACTGCATTAAGAATGTGAAAGATGCTCGAGAAGCTGCTAAGGTTTTGATCGAGGAAGCTCTGCACAGGAATAGCACCGATGACATTTCTGTAGTAGTAGTGAGATTCCAATGAACTTTTCCAACATTGTAAGTGTGAAAACTCACATTTGCTTAATGAATTGGATGGTTAATTTCTTGCCTGTTTTGAATTTTCTTGTCAGTTGATTAAAAGCTGTAAACATTAGTGGTGTTTTGGAGCTTCTGTTTATGAACAATCGCAAACTTTTGTGTTTTGCAATGGACTCTCGAGTGATTATGGAATGTCATAATTTTCATTTCTTGGAAGAATAATACCTCCAAGTGAGGCTTATTTCTAATAATTAATTGGTATCGGGAGGAATAGTCCACAGCAATTAAGTTCATACGCTCGGAACTGTGTGAGACATGCATCCTACATATAAGTGATATTAGCTTAATTTGATCTTTTATCATTGAATAGACTTTGCACTTGTTCATCTCAATTGATTGTAATAAACGTCTTAGCCATCTTTGAAATAACAGTACATAGTGAAACAATACAACTATACAAGTACATCAAACTTCTAGCAAAAACATTTTAAAAAAATAAACACACACACACAATTGTTTTTTACCACTATAACTTCTATAAGTTTTATTTTACCACCAAATAAAAATCTAAAAATTGTTTTTCATCGTCTGCCGTTAAAATAACCATTAAATCTAATTGAATTAAAAAAAATTATCAGATTTTCGTGTCAAAAACATGCTTTTTAATGGTTTTTGGGGTTATTAGGGTTTGAAGGGTCCAAATATTGAGGTTAGAATTGACAAAAAAAAAATTATCACAAATGCCTCGTTTTGCCTACAATTTGCGTGACTCATGCAAAACAAAGTACTCCATTTATGATACTTTTTTGTCAATTTTGATCTCAAATCGATCCCAAAGAACCAAAAAAAACGCTCAAAACCTCTAAAGAACATGTTTATGGCATAGAAATCGAAGAAATTTTTTAAAATTGTTAGATTTAACATCTTGACGGAAGGTGGTGAAAAAAAAATTTAAAATCTGTTTGATGGTAAAATATAACTTTTAGGCCTTGCCTGGATTCCCTTAAATAATTAAGGGGGAAAGTATAATGGGGATTATTTTGCTAGAGGATCAATTAATGGGGTAATTATTCATTTTCTTTAAGTTTGAAATTATTTCAAGAGTAATAAACAAAATTAGCTTCTATATTAGCAAATCCGCCATCATCCAGCCAGAACCACCGTCATTATACTGTATGGTAGAGCGGAGTGACAGATTGATGAAGAGAATTGTTCAGGGAAACAATTTCCCCTAATTTGAGGGGAATATATTACCCCATTATAATAGTGTCCTCAATCCAGGCAACTCAAAATATCGGAAATTTTTCCTCCCTTAATTATTCGTCTCTTATTACATGCAATTCAGGCAAGGCCTTAGAAGTTTTGGTGGTAAAAAACTCCTTTTTTTTCGGTAAAAGTCAAAATATCGTAAATATTTTGGTGTATAAGTTGATTCATTAGTAGGGGTGTATATGAAGAGGGAAAACTCCATGATCCGGTCTAATCCAATCCAAACTTGTTGAATTGGATCGAACTTCAAAACTTTTGGATTGGATTGGACTTGGAATCAAAATTATCAAAAAAAAAATTAACTTGATTTGGAGTTGGCCTTTGGGAGTCCAAATGGCCAATTAAGCCCAAATCTTTGAAAATTTGTTAATGCACATAATAACATAAAATCATGTTGAAATTAGGAGATTTTAGCCTTCACTTAAAATAGGTTCTACTTAAGCTTAAGATTATTTTCTGTTACCCTTTCTCCTCCCTTCCGTTTTGTCCTCAAATTGACTCTCTTATTATCCTCTTGTATGTTTGCTATATTAAGCAAGGTATGAACTTGTATACATCATTAATTCTGCCTATTTCCAACCCCCACCCCCCCCTCTTCGTCCCACCCGTCTTTGTTACATATTATAATTTTTTTTTTCCAATTAGAATATGTATGTGCTAATCCATGAGATATATCATTTTCAGTTTAAAAAATCTTTGAAAGCAAGTAGGGTAGATAATTATTTAAGATGTTACTTTTATTTATTATTTTAAGAGTATAGACTAAGGATTCATGTTTGAAATATCTTGACTAAAACTTATAATATATATTTTATTTATTTATTGGTTACAGACATAGTTTCGGGGTTTTTTGTATCCCACGGGAGAGTTACAACACCAAGACTGGATTCCGGGCGCCTGTACCTATAAAACAACGGAGACTCCGGTTGGGTGGAGTTCCACCTCCGACGATCAAGTTAGAACGTGTTCGAAAGATATAAAAAGTGCGGAAAGTGAAGTAGTATCTTCTCAGATTCCGAGATCGAGAATATTCTCTGAGGTGAGAAAAAATTATATGCAATCATTGACTGCTCTGGTTTTTTCGTGTTGAATGAATGTCCCTCTAGGTGGGAACATCTCCCTATTTATAGAGTCTTGGGATTCGTGCCACTATCCTAGGTTACGGAAACCTAGGATTGATGGGCTGACTCGGGAATTGGGCTTTGAAGGCCGTTGTTTTCCCTTGCTGACTTCGAGTGCCACGTGTCAATTGATGAGTGGCCTTCATAGGGCCTGTCATGAGGTGATACGTGTCTCATTCTTATTGGGCCACGTGACATGGGTATTTTTACCCAAATCAGACATAATGTAAAAGTATCACTAATTCACTACTAGATATTGCATGAATTGAAAATAAAAGTTGAAACCCTCTTAACTTGCTATTTGCTGCTGTAACAAAGATGACTAATGTTGAGTCCTTGTGTATACTCCATCCCCTCCGTCCCACAATATAGTTCCTGTTTTCCTATTTTAGAGACTCAAAATGTTGTTCCTGTTTCTATTTTTGTATAGTATGTAAAAACCATTATAGCCTTATTTTTTAATTCTATTCATTGAAATTCCTAATTTACCCTTAAATTATCCACTTGCATTGTACTTTTTTCCACTTTCTCTCTCTAACTTTTGTCTATAATTGTACATTTTACTTTTTTCCCCCCTTAAATTATTCACTTGCCTTGTCCTTTTGTCTAGCTTTTGTCCAGCTTTTTTCCACTTTTAATGTACGAGTACTTCTTTTACTTCTCCCCTCATTTCTTAAATATCGTGAAAAAACACAATACAAACTATATTATGGGACGGAGGGAGTATGTAGTTTGTCTATTAGAATTGGAGCTATACTTTGTAAAGTAATTCCCAGTAGTGTTATTAAATATTGGATATTTTTTTTCAAATAAAGCTTACTGAGCTTGAAAGGTAAAATTTTTAAAATGTCACTGAAAAAAGTTTGGATCAAATTTTTAAAATGTCACTTAAAAAATGTTTGGATCAAATTAAACTAGAATTGGATTTGTGAATTTTTTTTGGACGGGGCTAGATTTTTCTTCTGAAAAGTTCGATGAAACTTCGATTCAAATGTCAAGGTCTTATAAATATTAGACTAAATTAAAACCCGAGAAGTTCAACTCAATCCAATCCATCTAATTTACACCTGATGCATAAAGTAAACTAGGCCTATATATCGAATCTCAACAACCTTGACTAGTTGAGGTCCGGTTGAGGTTGTACAAGCTGAGAAAGCCTCAACTTCATAGCTCAACAACCTCGACTAGTCAAGCTTGAAGAAGTGCAAGATGAACCGAGCAATCTAACTTCAACTCGACTCGTTATCACCCCATCAAAATCCTAGTCACACAATGATGGGAAGAAGTAATTAAAAGTAAAAAAACAAAACAAAAACAATTGTATGGATGACAATGGTGGTAAAAAAAGTCATGAATGCGGTCAATTGAACAGTCCTTCGTCAACCAATAGCATAGAAAGAAACTCTTTCCATTGGGAATGATAGTTACGCAAGAATCTACTTCTTCAGAAAAGTGTACACTCACTTGTCAGCAAACAAACAAGCTATGCTATTCATGGACCACACTTTGCTACATTAATTATTTAATAGGCTGAATTCTATGATTATAATATGTTTGGTTTTAAGGGGGAATGTTTCCATTTTATGCTAGAGATTAACCTTCAATTTAATACTTGTTCCCATTTTCTCTTACCAAAAACAAAAATTACCATCCATTTGATTGGCATGTGATGTACTCCGTACCATATATAACTTCTTAAACTAAATCACTGTACTCTTGGAAGGAAGTGGAGACCATAGGCATACACGATATGTATGTGTGGATTGGTGTATCAGGCTATACGTGTTACACGACATATTGTATCATAGGTTACCTTCGAATGCAGGAAAATACAGGAACGAAGCCATACTTGACTGAGGTGGGGGCCGATTTAGGTCTAATATTCATTCATGCTACTTCAATAATGGCGTGAACTACTAGTAAGGGCAAAACACTACATAGGCCATGGCCCTCTTAGGCCTCAACTAAGCTTTGCCCGTATGAATGTACGAGGCAAAATTAATTATGTGACGTTACATGTGGACAAATAAGTCCACACAACGTGTTCATGTGTGATGTATAGGTTTTAGACTTCGGTCCATACCCTATTGTTGATCGGCAAAGAAAAGGAGAAGAATGATGCGCAAAAGAAAAGCATATGGTATTTCATGTTGTTCTAAACTTCTAGTCAACATAGCTAATAACGTAACCAAGGCTGGCTACCGGCGCTACAAATGCAACACATAAGTTATAGTTTACAGACAATTTGCTAATAATAATAGTGCTAGATTAGAATAAGCTAAGCTAGCCTAAAAAGATACAGTTGATTATCACATTACACATAGACATTTATAATTGTTCTACTAGCTAAGCTAGATGATCATAATGACAGAAGAGAGGGAGCAACATAGGTTAACTTAAGCAGATAATTAGCTTATCTGATCTGAAATTGTTTGTAAGAGGATGTGCAGTTGTTATTGTTATTCCCAGAATAGGATAGCTGAGCTTGATCCCCTGTCCTTAATTGTAGGTTAGACCCTTTACTCTGGCTTGAAGTCGAACCGCCTTCTCCCTGAGATTCTGATGCGCTCTTACGACGCCTCTCGTTGTGCCCTGCTAGACGCCTCCGGCAACTTCTCTTTGTCTCATCGAACTCAGATAGCTCATGAAACCTGGATGTTAAATGTATGAAATGTTGAGTGGCAAAGTGGCAGACCATATAGATGAAAACTATAGCTAAAAATAAATATACTGAACCATTGTGACACAATATTTTATGTACAATTTTAAGGCAATATATATCTTATTCTATATAATAACTGAAAAAAAAATTAGGGGTCAAGCCTCTACGAGCCTCAATGAAATATCACCCTTATTGTAAAATTTGTAATAACCAAAAATAATATTTTAAAGCTTTAAGCTAGCTTAAGTACACACAATCTGGTTAAAGGTAAAGTACGTGTAAAATTACCCGTGATCTGAAATATAAAGTGTCTAAGCTTACTGATTATCAAAAACGAATTAAAAACTTAACTTGTGCCTTACAAGACCCTAAAATTTCATTTTTCTAGTATTATGTAGCAAATTGACATGAAGGAGGATAAAATTCCACTTCGATAATGAGTTCAAGTTTGTCTGTTTCTAATAGAATAAATTTGTGGAAAATAAAGGAGAGGATGTTTGAGTGTTTGACCATAGACATGGAGGACTCTATTGCCTGCCTAGACCAAATAGCGTTGACCTTATACTGTCTCTTTTTCTTTTTGCTTTTTTGTATGGTAAAATTATCTATCGAATATTCTAAATTCAAGACTATTTGGAAGCTATAGTTGAGCATAAATGCATAAATTAATTGATTGAGCATATGTCAAAAATAATAAAATTAATTGATTAGAAATAGAAAACTATTGTCCTTAAATTCTTCTAATTTCAATAAATATAGGTAGATGTCCATCCTATGCCCTAGTAATTGTACAAACGTACAAGTCCATTCTAGTTAAGACGAGTACACAGAGGCAAGAATGTGAGGTGAAAATTTAGGCTTGGATAGTGACATATTAATTGTACAATTACCACTAGATCAACGATTCTATCATGTACGTTACTCTTTTTCCTTTTTAAGTTTTTAACTAAGTTTTATCGATGAGCTCACAAAATTGAAAGTCATTTAGTATAAGAAATATATTAAAATCATTTTAAGGTGCAATTGATGACTTTAATTAAAATGTTATTAAGTGTATGTGTATTATGTGTATTAAGAAATATATTAAAATGTTTTTTTTATTCTTAATCCTTAAGAGAAGGTTGAACATTTTGCACTTAAATATTCCATACCCACATAATCACATGTGAAAAACCTTTCACCACAAAATAATAAGAAAATTTGGGATAAAAGTTAAACCATGCTAAATAAATTTAAATAAATCTTCTACTTTCAACATCATCAACATACCTAAACAACATACCAAAAATCTCAACATCATCCAATAATTCCAAATCTCACAAACTACCCTTAAAACACTTTAGGCCACAAATTTGTGAAAATACTTTCTAAAATACCACTTATAGTATGTAGATTAAATTAATTAAAGTACCAAATTATGTTATTTAATTAGCTAGGTAACAGGATAAGTATCCCCTCCCCTAATCTAGTTCGTTAATATTAACATCGCAAACGTACCAAACTTCACCATACCAAAAATGACATACAATGATACATATAATACTTATTATAATGACGCATATAGTATAATTTAAAGTAGTTAATCATATATAATACTCCCTTTGCGTCGAAATGTGTCAGTTTTTTTTTTTATTTTTTTAATTTTATAAGAAAGACAATTACTAACCGTCTAAAAACGAAAAATTTCTAGAGACGAAAGGAGTATATTATAATTCTAATGGAAATAGGGATGACCTGCTACATTGCTGGCAGAAGCGTTGGCGGAGGCCGGAAACAAGCACAGAAGGGGCCTTAGCATGGTGCTCACACACCTTATGACGGCGGTGGTAACGCTTTGCTTCGGTTAGATCCACCGTGCACTTCTCAGCTTGACAACTTGTCACTCCACCACCACCAGCACTGCCACCACTACCGCCACTCGTAACTCTTTTAGTACTAGTATTATTATTAGTACCTAATTTTTTTTGTTTCTTCTCTTCAGTAAAAGTAGTAGTAATAGTAGTAGTAGTGATTTCTTCTTGTTGATCATCCGAGTTTTGATCTTCATGATGATGATCATCAAAGTTGATTGAGGTGGTGGTGGTTGTTTTGGCGGATTTGTCTCGCATCATCATCCTTTTCGGGGTCGCAGCCGAGGCGGCGGCGGTAGTGTTTTGGGGTTTGTGGAAGTCCATGGAGGGTGTATGTGATGAAGAGAGGCAGGAGAAATGTGTTGGAGAGAGAATGTGGGAGGAGGAATGTGATAATTTTTTATGTGATTTTTGGGAGGGGAAATAATAATTAAAAAGTTAGGAAAAATAAATAAATAGAAAGTGAAGTGAATTTTTGAGAAAGAGAGAAATAATAGATAGAGAGGATGAGGACCACAATTGGGTCATTTCCATTTTGCTTGGTTTATGAGGGTGGCATACTTTGTGATCAAATAATAATCATGTAATTTAAAAGAGAGACACTACTTATTTCCATGGAATTAATTATGTTTATATGGAGCCATGGATTGGAGGCATATATTTTATTGATTACTACTTGATTCAAAGGAGTTGAAAGATTTTGGTGGATTAGGAGGTCTTGATTCAAAGGAATTAAAAGATTTTGGTGGATTATGAGGTTTTAACTTTACTGACGAAGTATTCTAATCTTTTATTTTATATTAATCACAATAATTTAATTGAGACACGTGTTAATGTACAATTTTGACCATTAATATGAAGCAAATGTTTTGTAATAGAAATTAAAATTTAACTACTCGTCGCGTAAGTGTATAGTGTAGCGAAATTTCTTGTTCAATATGAACAATGTAACATGGAGATCATAACCTCTAAGAGAGGCTAGGTGAAATAAACATGTCTATTAAAATGTGTGGAAGATAATATATTGCAATTACTAAGTTGTAGTAGCTCAACTAAATTATGCTCCATGTAATGTTTAATCACTCTTCAGAATAAAATAAATTTTTTTATAAATGTATGACGATTATTGTAAATGAAATTTAATCTCATATATTAAGTATTGTCTTTAAAAATTTAACCAACTAAGCTAATTAATTATCCTTATTAGAGTATAAGTTTACTACGAAGTATGAGTTTCAATTTTTTTAAAGAGACAAAACAATTTTTAAATGCTTGAGACAAAAAGGTTAAAGTTAAGGTTATAATTGCAGCATACATATAATTATTCGTGATACAACGACCCTAGATAAGGTGATTGGTTGTCAAATCAGCTTATGTGTCACTTTTCACTTTGTGTTTTGATCTCCATCTTTCCAAATTGTCTATGTTTCACACAGTTTATGCTTAAAATGTGTTTATGTTTCTCTACAATAAGCAAATTTTATTCAACTAGTTCTGCCATTTATAGCCATTAGCCATATTAAATTCATACATAATTTTTTTTTTCATTCCATACTAATCTTATGACATACTGCATTTAGTGTCGTTAATTACTATGAATTGATTATATTACATACATTTATGTTACGGCGGAGTAGATGTGACTAACTATCTCTTTCAACATTTATATATACTCGCTCTTTTAATTCTTGTAATTTTTAAATCATTACTCCGTAGCTTATTAAGCAATTTTTAGCTTATGTTGCCAAATAGACCCATTCTAACTGCATGGACAATCATAGAGTTATTTTGTTTAGAATTAATAATAACTATCTATCTGAGTTCGTTGTTCACCTTATCATACTTATTCAAGAAAACTTAATTCTAACAAGATCAAGAAAAAAAATATATATACTTCGTAGTTAGTATAAGTATTAATAAGGGTTAATGGCTACGTACACAAGTTTAATTTACAACTAATATAAATTATAAAATGTCTTAATAAGATCCAATAAGTTGAGAGAAGTTCTAGCTCACATGTAAGTTCAAATAAGTTTGAAGGTGTTATTTGTGACTTGAATCCAGGCAAATTGGTTACTTTAACTGCACATATCTATCAATCTAGAAATGTTCGTGAGGTGGTTCAAACTGGAGGTGGAATATTGTTTTAGTAGATTCTCAATGATAGGGCATAAGCTTAATGACAAGGGCATAAGCTTAATTATTCTTTATTTAGGGTTTCATTAGGGTTTTCTTATTTTATTAAAAAACCATTTGGTGTACAACAAGGTAGACATGTAAGAAGCTGCCAAAGCCAATTCAAGCTTGATGCTACTCCACTTTTGTGATAGAGAATTTTGTATCTTTTTCATTGTAGTTGTTCTTTTATCCTCCGTGAAAGATTAATCGTTGATCTGTACACCCGGGTGTACCATGAGCATGGTACACCGGGTCAAAAACGACGCTGCCCAAAAAATAAAACGCAGGCAACAAATAAATTAAAAAAACGCGGAAAGAACATACTGCTTTCAAGATATATATATATATTCAACAAAGAACATTCAGCTGAAAAAGAACATGTATATTCATTAAATTTCGGAAAGGAATCAACCAAATCCCACATTAATTGATACAATCTTTTCAAAAAAATTAAGATTCCAGAATAATTTTCTCTTTTCTAAATTATTTTCTTCAAAATATTTCAAGATTATTTTCAAAATTAAAATTCAAAAATTCATTTTCATATTTAAAATTTCAGTTATTAATATTTTATTTGATTTTCTTAAATTAAAAAAATCTCTACCAAAATCAATCATATTCTTTCAACATTTTTTTTTATGTAATTATTATAATATTCGTTATACTAATAATGGTCATGTGTAATTCTTGTGATGTTCTTTATATATTTTTTTATAATATTTTTTATCAGAAAATATGATGTACTTTATTTTTGTATGTAAAGTACAATTAATTATTAGCACTATTTTTCTTCCATATGTCCACTATTAATTTTATGATCTTTATTAGATCTTTTGATAAAATATTTTAAATGTCCATGTTATCTAACTGTGATTGTAATGTACATTTATTGTCACATAATATCCATTGCTTATTGTGAAAATGTTCTTTAAATTTTTGTTTGGAACGTCCTTGTTAAATTTAAATATTTTAATTTAAGTAGTGCTTATTACATAATATAATCATGTTCTTTATAAATGTTATAGATCTTCTTAGGATCTGAAAACCAATCATCAATATATGATGTCCAAAAAGAATATCTTCATCAACCATCGTGATCCTGAAAAAAAAATGTACACACTTATTTAATATTATTAACATAAAAAAAATATAAATTTAATAAATAATATTGAAGATGAATAGTTTAATAATTAAAAATGACGTAAAAACTAATTTTAAAATAATATGTGTTATATCACTCAATACCCTAAAGAACATAAGAGTTAAAACAAACGAACATGAACATAGAAGAACATATTATTCAAGTAAAAAGAACATAGTTCATATTATTGAAACACAAAGAACATTATACCTTAAAGAACATTTTTTGTAATGTAAAGAACATATAGTTTAGATTCAAAGAACATATTAATTGGACTTAAAGAACATATTTCATTACAATTAACAAATTGAATGTGTGATAAAGGAACAATCATCATAATCAGAAGAACATCATCTTCAACCTTTGAAAATAATACCAAAAAAAAAAAAAAAAAAAAAAAAACCAATTTCCTTTGATTACAAAATAATCCACAAATTATGAAGTTTAATAATTTAAGAGAACATTATCATTAGCATCAACATCGTAATTATAATTATAAAATTTTAATACGAAAAAACCTATAAAAAAAATTACCTTCATTTGATTATGAAATCCTCAAATTCATCTTCATTATTAACCAAATTTTCACTCTCATACGTATTATCAACAAATCTGTAATGGAATCATGTCGAATTTTTTACACCTCGCCATTAATTTTCTCTTCTAAAATTTTCTCTCTCTGGAAATTCTCTCTGTATTTCGAAATTGTAATTATGTCTCTCCAAAAATATCAAATCTATTTTTGAAAACTATTAATATGGAGAATAACTAACAAATCCCTTAAATTAAGGAGGAATCATTTAAAAAAAAAAAAAAAACTAATTTGAAAAATGTCTTTATTTTCTGCAGGGTGTACGGTGAGCATGGTACACCCTGATTTACTATGCAAATTTCAGTGAAAGATAACAAGAAAATATTAACTGTACATATGGAGAGTAGGTCATTTTCCTCGACTGAACCACTTATGCATATATACTTTTTGTTCATCTTATCTACTAGAAGTATTATTTGCACCAAAATAAAAAATCTACTAGAAGTATTATTTACCATATTTTATATTTAATGTGTTGTTTGTGCTCCACCCAAGTCAAACACACCATATAATTAACTCAATCAATCCACCTTTAATTTCATACAAAGTAACATAATTTAAACTCCAATAAATACATAAAATGCACCGATGATTAGAATGCACTCTAATTGCACCCTAATTGCATACATATGGAGTATTGCTTTGTAATATTAAAGTAAATATATATGAAGTAATGAAGTAATAAATTATTTTCTCTGTCCCAAATATAGTTCATGTTTGTGTTTTCTCACGGTATTTAAGAAATAGTAGGAGAAAGTGGATGAAATACATTAATAAAAGTGGAAAGTACAATCATAGATAACAGTTAGAGAGAGAAAGTAGAAAAAAGTATAAGACATGTGCAAAATTTAAGGGTAAATTAGAAAGTATAATGAATAAAGTTAAAAAAATGATGGTATAATAGTCTTTACATACCATCCAAAAATAGAAATAAGAACAATATTTTGGATCTCTAAAATAAGAAAACAGAAATTATATTATGAGACGGAGAAAGTATAAAAAGCAAATGGTAAAACCAATATTTCAAGCTTTTTTTCACTAACAAAGTAACTACAACAGTAGATCTGATGTAGCTAAACCGATGAATTGATGAAGTATATGCGGTGGGTTAGTTGGGGTTGTACTATAGATAACAAAGTTAGTACTTATACAGTAAAAAAAAATACTTACTGTATAATTCATGGTTCACTTTTTTATTTTTGTTAATTTACCCCATGAATTGGGATCTATTACGCGTGGGTTTTGCTGCAAAAGCAATAATGATTGGTGACCCAATTTCTCCATTTACGGGCTAACGGCCCACTCTAGGCTTCTTGTTGTTTGATTGGATGATTCCTTCCTTTTACAGTTTTACTGCAGACACGTGATCTTTATTTTTTACGCTTTTTTTAAACTCGTCATTTGGCAGCTAATCAACTTCACTGATAACTAGTACGGAGTAGGTTTTTGTAGATTTCAGCAATGTATTTTCATTATTGAGAACTTTGTGCATAGGTGAATGCTTGAATTAACATGCCATTGGATTTAGAATGAGAAGGATAAGAAGAACAATGTTAGTCCTTTGATTCAGAGCGCCTAAGATTTGCGATTGATTCACATGCTTTAACCTTATCAGATTAGCACCTTAATCCGGTTGTCGGTCTACATGTAGAGCTACTTATGTGTATCCTTGAATTAACATGCCATTTGTGCTTTTACTCATGTGTTAAGTGTGCCATATGAGCAAAATTGATAAAATATGCCGCCAAATAATAATAATAAAAAAAAGGTACATCTGGTAACGACTTTTATAAAGTCTTGTAGACTATAATGATAGTATAGGTT